TAATTTTTAATTCAAGATAAAGCAGTGGCGTAGTATTTTTTTCGCCAAAAATATACATTTCAAAACTCGTACGTACGCCACTGGCAGAGAAAATTAAGAAAATTGTACATCAGAAAATGCGCCTTGAGGCATGGAACATATGTACCAAATATGCCAAAGATGTCTACAAAATTATCTCAGTTATTATTAAAAAACTGATTATTTTTGAAAACTTTGCCACCGTGTATCTCAAAAGTTAAGGCGTTTAGGACATACGTCCATAGGAAGCTTTTTCTTAAAATGGGTCTACGAATTACCTCCTTAAATATTAGCATGTGTTTAAGGAACACCTTGTATATCTGAACTCTCTCGTCACAATAATCCAGTTCACAATGGAACGAGAAACCCAAGGAAATCTATGTTCTTCTGAACAGACGTAAAGATGATACATTGGGCTACAAAGTGTACAGGAAACGAACACACACAAACTTTAACCAATAGCCACGACAAAAGAGAGGGGACTTTCCAAAAAGATTGTGAATCAAAGTTTCTTGTTCTTAGATACGGATTTTCAAAAAACCGTTAGGCTACCCAAAAGACTTATGAGTGAATTTTGTGAACTGGGCTATGAGGACTACGACAAAAATTATGTTGGTCAAACTGAGGGTGCTATTAAAACGCGTTACAAAGAGCATATGACACCTATCGAATTCAATAGACCAAAAATGTGAATTCTTGCCAACGTTAAAAGTTCTAATTGAACCTTTCAACAATTATTTATTACTGTATATTTCCACAAAAAGAACTGTTCACTTTGAAGATATTTTCAAGCGGACTTCTTGCTACCATGAAAACCATTAAATGTTTTGCAGCTCCGATGAATAATAACTTTAAAACCTATTTTCACTGCTAACAAGAAATTTTTTGCAGCTTCAATAAATAATAACTTTAGAATCCATTTTTCTCTTTTTCGGATCGCAGCATTAGCCAATGGTCAGTCAACCACAAACAAATCCACACAATTGAGCGGAAATGGAACTAACGGACACTGGATCGATCCGAACGGACCCAGCGTTCAGTTTATATTATTTACGAGGTACGTAGACAATGATGAAACGAAACGTATGTACCTACTAAATGCGGAAATTGAGTTCTTCGACTGATTCTCTGCAGTATATTCGTTTCTGATGCAAGTTTAAAGTTAATATAGGCGAACGCCTGATCAGAGGATGGTCGTTTCATCATTCGAATCTGCAGTTTGCTAAAGGTTCTAATTGAGTCGTGAGCGCGTGCCAACAATCAAATTTCGACTTTTCTACGAATACCTGAAGACACGGAACCCAATGAGGAGCAGGGCATATACGAAATATCGTGTTACACCTGCTTCAGAACTAACATCGGCCGGACCAACAGAATAGTCTTCAACAGAGCTTGTGAACATGAGCTTGCTGTCCGCAAATCAGATCCAGTCTCATCCCTATCCAAACATCACTTCGGAACAGTCCACAGAATAAGCATCGAAACCACCAAAAGCATTGCCACCGAAAATACTCTCCAGGTCAGGATGATCCGCGAAGCTATTGAAATTAAAAAACGTCTCAACTGCCTCCGAGATAATCATCAAAGATTACCTCATTCATGGAGATCATGACTGTCACGACGTACATCTCCTGTTCCCACCACCATCTAAACCCTCGCTCCCATTACCGGTCTGTGCCTCCACTCGTCCAGGGACATGAATACCAGAGCAGAGCATGTGTACCTGCAGTAGACGCTTGGGAGTAGGCAAATTGAGGCCCTTTCAGAGACCAGCAGCGAGACCTGGGGAGTAGGCAGATTGGGGCTCCGACGTCTAGACTCAAAACCCTTACAGCGTGTTACTACCTGAGAAGTAGGCAGATTGAGAGCTCAGTGGATTCCTAGCTTCTTGAAAGTGGCTTCAAAGTCGAAGCCGAAATGTCGAACAAATAAAAACAACAGACGCGGGTTGAATTGTCTGAATATCCAGAACAACTAAAGTTATTCCATTTGGTCAATTATCTGCAGTTGATTTAGTAGGATGTGTATCCCCTATAATAACAGGGGACGTTTAGAACAGTGATTGGAAACTGATGAGCCAGCCAGGCACTTCCCAAAGGAAAACTTATTTATAAAGGGTTTTTCGACAAAAAGTTATTCCTGATAAAAGTTTGTGCATCCCCTAAAACTAAACATGCACCAACAAAATACGGTAAAACACATGCAATATACGAGGAGACTTCAAATATTTAATTTGGAGACAAGAGTAAAGTACTCTTATTTTGAAAAATTTCGGAAATGTTATCTGAAAAAGTTGTTCAGCATTGAAAAATACATCTAGATTTGAAGTCACGGCGATCTAAGCGAATTATTATTTTTTTACCCATTACCGAAAAATGAAAATTTGCTAAAACAATAAATAGATTTTTATTTTTTGTTTACACCGAAAATTACTCAAAACTATACTGTATTGTAACAATAACTTAATATTCAATAATATCAAATAATAAAACATCAAAATAAAATAGGTGTTTTGGAACCAACTCATTGAATTTCTGAAGATTTTCTTGTCCAAAATAATTCTCCAAAATAACCTCCAGAAAATCAGTGAGTCTGTTCCAAAATACCTATTTTATTTAAATGTTATGTGATTTGATATCATTGAATAATGAGTTCTTGTTACAATACTGCACAATTTTGAGTAACTTTCGGTGTTAACCAAAAATAAAAATAACTTTGCACCAAAAACTTTAAAAATTATTTTGCTTTTCAAAAAAATTGACCGTGGTTAACACCATAGTTGTGTGATTTGTAATATTGCAGGCTTTTAAAATAAACCGTTGTATAGAGGATGCTGTCTATTTATTGTTTTAGCAAATTTTAATTTTTCGTAGTCCCCATTTAAAAAAATGGGTAAAAAAATAAAACTTCACTTAGATGGCCATGACTTCAAATCTAGATGTATTTTTTATCGCTAGATAACTTTTCTAAATAACATTTTCCGAGATTTTTCAAAATAAGAGTATTTTACTCTTGTCTCAAAATCAAATATTTGAAGGCTCCTCGTATATTACGCATGTTTTACTATATTTTGTTGGTGCATGTTCTGTTTTAGGGGATATACAAACTTCCATCAAAAATGACTTTTTCTCGAGAAACCCTTAATAAATAAGTTTCCTATATGGTGCACACTTTGGGGATGACACTGTATAATTTCTTCTGGCACAACAACATTTTTTATAATATTTATAATATTATTTTCAAATCTGTAATAATTTCAGGCAATATCAGCCTTATAATCTACGATCCGGCAATATCGAAGACTTTAGGAATTCAGGAATCAACTTGAGCAACCCTGTCAAAATAATAATTCACGGTTTTCTGAGCAGCTCAGCTGAAGAAATATTTGTTGTGAATAAAAATGGTGAGTATTCACTCGATTTTTCTTATTCAAAATAGGCGAAATCTCATGAATGAACAGAACAACTCGATAACGCAGATTTTTCTGAAATCGAACAAGCACGACAGAAATTTCTCCAAGACTCTCAAAGTGCGTATGTGGCGTTTTATGTTGGTTTAAATCCGTTGTACAACCAGAAAAATCGTTTCTTGGGAATCTTATTTCACAAGAGAACCATTTTCTAAATGGAAGGTTTCTTAGAAAGTGTACTTCGAGGTGTTGGAAATTAGATTTATACAGGGTCCTGCAACAGTGACGCGGTGTTCCATATCTCTATATAGAAAGCAGATAGGAATCTAATTTTCTATAATATTACCTTATTGCTCGAGCTCGACAAAATAAAAATATTGGCGGTCACACAGGGTGTTCGATTTTTTCTGGGCGGATCCCAACTGTGTCTTTTTAAATGGCAACCTATATTTTTTATCGCTTTTTCGGTTTCTTCATAGAAAATAAAATAAACTTTATGTATATCTGCACTTCGAAAATATTGA